TATGTTCTTGGAGTACGATCTTAGATTGTTGATTTGAGACTTTTCCTCTTTTCTAAAGTAAACATTTAGGATAAATTTCTCTCTAAGCACTGCTTAATCTGTCTCCCCCAAATTTTGATATGTTGTATTTTCATTTTTATTGACTTCAATTTTTTTTTTTTTAATTTTTCTTGAAATGTCCTCTTTGACCACCAATTATTTAGAGGTGTGTTGTTTAGTTTCTAAGTGTTTGGAGATTTTCCTGTTATCTTTCTGTTATTCATATCTAGTTTGATTCCATTGTGGTCAGAGAACATATTCTGCGTAACTTCACTTCTTTTAAATTTTTTGAGGTTTGTTTTATGGCCCAGGATATGGTCTATAGTAGTACATGCTGTATGGGCATTTGACAAGAATGTGTAGTCTGCTCTTGTGTGGAGTGTTCTATAAATGTTGATTAGATCCTTGTGGTTGACAGAATTGTTGAGTTCTTCTGTATCTGTAATGGATTGAATTGTGTTCCCCCAAAATATGTGTATCAATTTGGCTAGGCCATGATTGCCAGTATTGTGTGATTGTCCACCATTCTGTCATCTGATGTGATTTTCCTATGGGTTGTAAATCCTATCACTATGACGTTACTGAGATATATTAGCACCAGTTATATTGATGAGATCTACAAGATTAGATTGTGTCTTAAGCCAATCTCTTACGAGATATAAAAGACAGAAGTGAGCAGATAGACAGGGGGACCTCATACCACCAAGGAAATAGTGCCAGAAGAATGTGTCCTTCGTACCTGGGGTCCCTGCATTGAGAAGCTCCTAGTCCAGGGGAAGACTGATGACAAGGACCTTCCTTCAGAGCCAACAGAGACAGAAAGTATTTCCCTGGAGCTGATGCCCTGAATTGGGACTTCTAGCCTACCAGACTGTGAGAGAATAAACTTCCGTTTGTTAAAGCCATCCACTTGTGATATTTCTGTTATAGCAGCATTAGATGACTAAGATAGTATCCTTGCTGCTTTTCCATCACATTGTTCTACCAATTGTTGAGAGAGGGGTACAGAAGTCTAGTCTAATAGACAATAATTATCTATTTGTCTATTTCTCATTTCAGTTTTGGCTTCACATATTTTACAGCTCTGCCATTCAATGTGTACATATTTAGGATTGCTATGTCTTCTTGGTGAATTGACCCTTCTATCATTACATAATGTCCCTCTCTGCCTCTGGTAATTTTCTTTGCTCTGGAGACTACTTTATCTAATATTAATATAGCCACACTTGCTTTCTTTTGATTAATGTTCCATAATATATCATTTTCCATCCTTTTACTTTCAATCCACTTATACTGTAATATATACTGTAATACTTGAAGAGAGTGTCTTGTAGACAGCATATAGTTGGGTGATGTTTTTTAAGACACTGCCAGTCTCTGCCTTTTAATTGGTGTATTTAGATACTTTACATTTACTGTAAGTACTGATATGTTATTGATATGTTAGGGCTCAAGTCTGCCCTTTATTTTTTATGTTTGTTCTCTCTGTTTTTCATTTCTCCATTTAATATTTCCTGTCTTCCTGTGTGTTTTTTAAAATACTTTTTAGAATTCATTTTGATTTATCTATAGTATTTTTATAGCATCTCCTTGTATAGCTTTGTGTGGTTGCTGTAGATATTACATTGTATATACATAATTTATCATGGTCTATTGGTGTGGACATTTTATCTGTTCAAGTGAAGTGTAGACACTACCTTTGTCCCTTTCCTCTTCCTCCTTATAATATAACTGTCTTAAATATTTCCTTTTCATACATTTAGAGCTACTTCAGACAAAGTTATAAATTTTTGCTTCAACCATCAAACATAATTTACGAAACTCAAGAATAAAAATATATTATATTTACCCATATTTTTACTGTTTCCGTTATTCTTTCTTCCGTTTTGATGCTCCAAAGTTTTTTTTTATCATTTCTTTTCTGTATAGAAAACTTCCTTTAGCCATTCTTTTAGATTAGGTCTGCTGAAATTAATTTTCTTAGTTTTAGTTTTCCTTCTTCTGAGAATGTCATTGTCATTGTTTGAATTATGTCCCCCCAAAAATGTGTGTATCAATTTGGCTTGGCCATGATTCCTGGTACTGTGTGATTTTCCTGTAGGTTGTAAACCTGCCTCTATGATGTTAATGAGGGAGGATGGGTGGCAGTTGTGTTAGTAAGGCAGCACCTGATCTACAAGACTGGATTGTGTCCTGAGGCAATCTCTTTGACATATAAAAGACAGACGTGAGCAGTGAGACAGGGGGACCTCATACCATCAAGAAAACAGTGCCAGGAGCAGAGCGCGTCCTTTGGACCGGGGTCCCTGTGCAGACAAGCTCCTAGTCTGGGGGAACACCCAAGAGAAGAAGGCTGACAGAGAGAAAAAGCCTTCCCCTGGAGCTGACGCCCTGAATTTGGACTTTTAGCCTACTTTAACTGTGAGGAAATAAACTTCTCTTCGTTAAAACCATACACTTGTGGTGTTTCTGTTATAGCAGCACTAGATAACTAAGACAGTCATTGTTTCCCCTTTATTACTTGAAGACTATTTTAGTAATAGGATTCTGGGTTGACGGTTCTTTTTTCTCAGCACTTGAAAAATGTTGTGTTACTTACCCTGGCCTCCATGGTTTCTGATGAGAAATTCACCATTATTTGAATTGTTTTTCTCCCTAAAGATAAGGAAGGCATTCTCTTTCACTGCTTTCAAGATTTTTTCTCTGTGTTTATTTTTCAGAAGTTTGATTATATGTCTAGGTGTGGATGTCTTTGGGTTTATCTTGCTAGAAGTTTGCTTGGCTTCTTGACTCTGTAGTTTTATGTCTATTACCAAATTTGGGCAATTTTCAGTCATTACTTCTTCAAGTACTTTTTCAGTCGCACCCTCTTTCTCCTTTCCTTCCAGGACTCCGATGACACAAATGTTAGATCTTTTGTTATAGTTCCACAGGACCTGACACTCTGATCAATTTTTTCAGTCTATTCTCTCTCTGTTGTTCAGATTGGGTAATTTCTATTGCTTATACTATGCATTGGAATTGACTCGATGGCAATTTTTTGTGTGTGGTATTTCCAAGTTTGCTGATTCTTTCATCTGTCCTTTTTATTCACTGAACCCATCGATTTAACTTTTTATTCTGCTTATTATATTTTTCAGTTATAAAATTTCCATTTAGTTTATTTATTTATTTCTCTTTTGGTGAATCTATTTTTTTTTTCATTTCTTTTAAACATGTTCATAATTTCTCATTGAAGTATTTTTATAATAGCCACTTTAAAATTTTTGTCAGAAAATTCTCTAACACCCCAGTCATCTCAGTGTTGCTGTCTATTGATTATCTTTTTTCATTCAAGTTGAGATTTTCCTGATTTCTGGTCTGATGAGTGATTTTAAATCGAAATCTGGAACTTTTGGGTTTTATGTTATAAGACCCTAGATATTTAACCCTACTGTTTTAGCTGTTTTCTTTTTTCTGACACCAACCAGAAAAGGAAGGAGGGGGAGCATCACCTTTCTATTGCCAGCGGGTATAGAAGTCCAGGTTTCCCACTTGGCCTCCACTGACACCTGAAGGAAAGAGGGGCTCCTTGTTACTGCTGGGAAAGGTGAGCCTTCTGACACCCCACTAGGCTTCCGCTGATACCACCATGGCTGGGAGGACTAGGAGTGCCTTGTTACTGCTCCCTATGTGGCCACTACAAATACCACAAACAGGAAGTGATCTCATTACCACTGGATAGTGGTGGAAGTACTGACTCTCATTAGGTCTCCTTTGACACTACCCCAGCAGGGAGAGGAAGGGGCACCTCATCACTGCTGGGGTGGTGGTGGAAGTCCAAGTTCCACATAGTCTTCATTTACACTATGGGTTAGGCCTCATTACTGCTTGAAGGGGATGAAAGTCCCAGCTCCCTACACGGCCTTCCCTAACACCACCCCAAAGACGGGTTGGAATTCATCATTAAGGCAAAATGCGGCTGGAAGACTAAGATCTCTACTCAGCGTTTGCTCGTATTGATAGGGATGGGGCTACAGTTTTTTCTCCCCCCCTGGAGTTTTGCTGAAGCGGAATCGTTATTTTCTTAAACTTTTTTTCGTCTTGATAGGCTGCCCTTTCCAGGTCCATTAGCTCGAAAAAGCATGCTTTTATTTGGGCTTTTGTGTGTGTGTGTATAGCCTTGTATAACTCCACCTCTCTGATCTTTAGTTTCCTGTCTCTAAAAATGGGTTAATAAAACCACTATATCAACAGGATATACCCAGGGAACCTAACACAGAACCATGACACATAGGACAGTCTCAATAAATATTAGGATTTATTCCAGCACTAATACATACGCCCTTTGAGGAGGACTACCTGACTCTTAGGCAAAACAAAGACATAGAAATTTGTAGAAATGCTATAAGTCCCTGTTTCTTCACCTTCTTTTCTGAAAGGAACTCTTTCTGCACAAAAAGTCTGAATTTTTTCAGAAATACCAGAGGCAGGAAGACTTAGCTCTGAGCCAGTGGTCAGATCCATTAAATAAATCCCTGCTCTTTTTTAGAGCGAACACAGGGGCTTAATTCTTATGGTCTGTTATCTCCCTCTCCACACACTGAGTAACCAGGGTACTTCAAGAGAGACACCACAAAAAGAGAGATGAAGTTCCTATAGAAGGAGAAGGAAGAAAAATGAATTCGCTATATCTTGATTTTCCCTCCTACATATCTACCAAAGTTAAAGCATCTAAGTTGATTGTTGAGAGACAGAAAAGGAGAAGTTGAAAGAAGGCTGCAACAGGAATTGTGAGATAGCATTGATGCCCAACTAGATGTATTTATTTTTTAAAGAGGCCAGACAAGGGGGGGGCGGGGAATGAGATGGTAGAGCAGTGTGGCTGTGCAGTTTTAAACTTAACTAGAGGAAAAAATCCTATTTTTGACACATTTTCATTCCACACAGGGTTACAATATTAATTGGCTTAGCAGACTTACAATCAGCAATTTCTTCTGTGGTGCACAGGTTAATGGCGTTGCCAGAGTGTCTCAGATATGAAATTGTTGCCTCATAATTATGTGGGTCTTCAAATTCAGCACTGAGAGCGTGGAGAAAAAAAGGTTACTTGTGAAAAACATTTCTTTAAACACATTTAAAGACTTTTTGTATTTTTTCCCCACTAGGAAAGTAATATACATATAGACTGGTCAATATGCTGAATAAGCAGATATGGAAAGTATGCTAGCCCTACTCTAAACACATACGAATTCTGGATAAGACATAATAATACAAAGAATTGTACAAAGGTTACACAGCTCACCTAGAAATAAATAAAGTGAGATTCCCATGTTCCAGACACAGAGAGGAAACTCACAAAGTTGTAAGTGAAAACTGAAGCCAAGGCACTCTAAGGGAATTTGGGACCAGATAAAGAAAGATCTTAATGACTGGAGGCTGGGGATTTAAGGTCCGAGTTAGAAGAGAAGTCTGAGTTATAGGCCTTATGTGAATGGGAAGTTGTAATTGAGCTATCAGCATGAAGTCCAGAGTCACAACATACTGCCCCTGCTGTGAAATGTGTTCTAAAAAATATATGTCCACTCTCCCAGAACAGGAGCAGGGAAGCTTGCCATCTGACTATGGCTGTAGGAGGTAAAAGAATCACCCATGAGAAACCAGAAACCCAGAAACTCAACAACAAAGTACAGGTGTGGGGTCTAAACTCATATTGTCTGTGTATTTTAGAGACACAAAGCAAAACTGAGACTTGAAACCCAAATCACCTAGTAAAGGCAAATCAGAAATTACTCTATAAAGATGCTCCCACAAACTATGACACCTATGGTTTCCAAAGAAAATCTCCACTCAAAATACGCTTGCAGTTAAAAACTGCAAACCACACAATGAGATGTGCCGCTGTGAGATAGTCAATAGTTATAATGGGAGAATTAAATAATAGAATAACATGGAAGTGACTTAAAACAACTATGTCTTAAGTATTCAAGAAAATAAAAAGGAGAATAAAAGCCAAGATAGTGAAAAAAATGAGCATGTAAACTTTGGGACAAAAAAAAGGGAGTTATAGAAATAAAAAATACATTTCTTGAAAAAAATTTCATGTAGAGGTTGAAAAGCAGACTTAACACAGCAGAAGAGAAAATTGAATTAGTTAAATCTGAGAAAATTACCCAGAAACTAACATAGACATATTGTTGTTGTTGTTAGGTGCCTTCAAGTTGATTCTGATCATAGCAACCCCATGTGACAGATTAGAACTTCCCCGTGGGGTTTTCTAGGCTATAATCTTTATAGGAGCAGATCACCAGGTCTTTCTTCCACAGAGCCCTTGGGTAGGTTTGAACCATCAACCTCTGGGCTAGTAGCTGGGCGCTTAACTGTTGAACCCTTAGGTCTTCTTGTAGAGCTAATAAGAGATGAAAAATATTAAAAGAGAGCCTAAGAGATACAGAAGATAGAATTAGAAGGCTGACATACATGTACTAGAGATTCTAAAAGAAAGAGAATGGGCACAAGAAGGCAAAATTCCGATGATACTAACCAAGACTTTTCTGAAACTGAAAAGGGACATGAGTCTGACTGAAGCAACTTTAATAATGAGAAATGAAAACAAATGTCCATTTCTATTCATGTAACTTTTTTCATTAAACATGGATCAAAACTGAAAAGAAATGGTAATGAATTAACATACATCAAAGAATACAGTTTGTAATGAATTAGCATACATCAAAGGAAAAAAAGGAAAATTATTTAAAAGTTGTGTGAGAGAAAAGACTGATTATCTACTAAGGAATAGCAATCATACTGGCAATAGAATTCTCATTAGCAACAAAATGGTAGAAATTGTAGACAATATCTTAAGGTGCTGAAGAAAGACCGTTCGAGAGTGAGGGAGAAACAAAGACATTTTCAGAATACAAAAAAATGCATTTACTACTCACAGATCCCCACTAAAATATATCACTAAGTGATGCATTTCAACCAAGAAAAAAAAAATTTGTACTCCAAATGAAGTAGGATATAAGAAACAATGGTGAGCAAAAAATTAACAAAGTAATTGGTAAGTCTAAGTAAATACTGTTAAAAATAACTATTGGAGTTTAAGAATAAGATGTAACTTATTAATAATATTAAATAATAACATGAAATATACTGGAAAGGGCTATGGGGGTTAGGGCATTTTCAAGTCTTTGCACTATTTAGGAGCAGGATAGAGATTTTGATTAACATTCAACTTTGTTAATTGTGGATGTCAAAAATTAAGCTGTAACCAGTAAAAAAGAATCATTATAGAATATTTAACTTCTACACTAGTATAAAAGGGATATACAATGAGAAAGCTTAAATATTAAAAAATAAGTCAGAAAAGAAAGAAAATCGCAAGTAAAGAAACTGCATGGTAAATATAAAATCATAAAATATGATGGGAAAATGTCCAAATGGATCAAGAATCACAATAAAAGCACATAGATTAAACTACTCCAATAAAATAGAAAGCATCTATTTAATATTTTAAAACTTCAGCTACATGCTGCTCATCAGCAGCAGACAAATCAAAGCTTCCAGATGGATGGAAAAACAGATATAAGCCAAATACTAATCAACAGAAGGCTGAGGTAGGTTTATTAATATTAGACCATACTTAACAAGATCGATGAAGAAAATGAGGGAAAGTGTGCATGCGCACACACACACACACACACAAACTGAAGATAACAAAGCAGAGAAAACTAGAGATAATATTAGGTTTTTAAAATCTAAGAATATGTTATGATCAGCTCTCTGCCAACAAATTTGAAAATTTAGAGACAATGAACAATTTCATAGCCAAATATAAAATTACTGCAGTGACTCCACAAGAAATAGGAAAACTAATAGTCCAATAATCCTCAAAGTGCTTGAATCAGTACTATACATGCCTGTGCCCACTCCTCCCTCCCCCACTCTTCTTTTTTCTCAATTTGAAAAAACAATTTATTATTATTTCTTATGGTTCTGTATGTAGATTTACTGAAATCAGCTGGGTAGTTCTCACTTGGGGTCTCTCTATCTATCGTAGGCTGAGTTCTCTAGAGAAGCAAAACCAGTGAAGCATGTCTATACATACATATATATATATATATATATATATAAATCCACTGCTGTCAAGTTGATTCCAACTCATAGCGACCCTATAGGACAGGGTAAAACTGCCTCATAGGATTTCCAAGGAGTAGCTGGTGGATTCCACCTGCTAACATTTTGGTTAGCAGCTGAATGCTTAACCACTATAACACCAAGGCTTAAATATACACACACACACACACACACATATGTATATATATGTATGTGTGTGTGTGTATATGTATATATGTATGTATATCTATCCACCACTTATCTGTCAGTTAATCATACTGTGGTGGCTTGCCTGTTGCTGAGATGCTGGAAGCTATGCTGCTGGTATTTCAAATACCAGCAGGGTCACCATGGGGAGAAGTTTCAGCAGAGCTTCCAGACTAAGACAGACTAGGAAGAAGGACCTGGTGGTGTACTTCTGAAAAAAATGGTATGTGAAAACCTTATGAATAGCAGCAGAACACTGTCTGATATAGTCCTGGAAGATGATCCCCTCAGGTTGAAAGGCATTCAAAATGACTGGGGAAGAGCTGCCTCCTCAAAGTAGATTCGACCTTAATGATGTGGATAGAGCCAAGCTTTCAGGACCTTCATTTGCTGATGTGGCTTGACACAAAATGAGAAAAAACAGCTGCAAACATCCATTTAATAATTGAAATGTAGAACGTACAAAGTATGAATCTTGGAAAATTGGAAGTCATCAAAAATGAAATGGAGTACATAAAGATTGATATCATAGGCATTAGTTGGCTGAAATGGATTGGTATTGGCTATTTTGAATCAGACAATCATGGTCTACTATTTCAGGAATGATAACTTGAAGACGAATGGCATTGCATTCATTGTCAAAAAGAACATTTCAAGATCTATCCTGAAATACAATGCTGTCAGTGATAATATAATATCCATATGCCTACAAGGACGACCAGTTAATATGTCTATTATTCACATTTATACAACAACTGCCAAGGTCAAAGATGAAGAAATTGAAGATTTTTACCAACTTCTGCAAGCTGAAATGATCAAACATGCAATCAAGATGCAGTGATAGTTACCAGTGATTGGGAATGCAAAAGTTGGAAACAAAGAAGGATCAGTAGTTGGAAAATATGACCTTGGTGATAGAAATGACGACGGAGATCACATGATAGAATTTTGCAAGTCCAACAACTTCTTCATTGCAAATACCTTTTTTCAACACATAAATGGCGACTATACACGTGGACTCGTCAGATGGAATACACAAGAATCAAATCAACTACATCTGTGGAAGGAGACAATGGAGATGCTCAATATCATCAGTCAGAACCAGACCAGAGGCCAACTACAGAACAGACCGTCAATTGCTCATATGCAACTTCAATTTGAAGCTGAAGAAAATTAGATCAAGTCCACGACAGCCAAAAGACTATCTTGAGCATAGCCCACCTGAATTTAGAGACCATCTTAAGAATAGATTTGATGCATTGAACACTAAAGACCAGAAGAGCTATGGAATGACATCAAGGACATCATATATGAAGAAAGCAAGAGGTCATTAAAATGACAGGAAAGAAAGGAAAGACCAAAATGAATGTCAGAAGAAATTCTGAAATTTGCTTTTGGATGTAGAGTAGCTAAAATGAAAGGAAGAAACGATGACGTAAAAGAGCTGAACAGACGATTTCAAAGGGTGGCTCAAGAACACAAAGGAAAGTATTATAATGAAATGTGCAAACACCTGAAGTTAGAAAACAAAAAGGAAAGAACACGCTTGGTATTTCTCATGTTGAAAGCAGTGAAATAAAAACTCAAGCCTCAAGTTTCAGTATTGAAGGATTTTACAGGAAAAATATTGAACGATGCATGAAGCATCAAAAGAAGATGGAAGGAATACACGGAGTCACTGTACCAAAAAGAACTGGTCAATGTTCAACCATTTCAGGAGGTAGCATATGATCAAGAACCAGTGATGTTGAAAGAAGA